TTTTCCAGGTTCAAATCAATGTAATTTAAAATTATGATATATATATAATATAAATATAATAAAATAAATATAATAAAGCCAATAATATAACTAACAACTACACTTAGTGTTATATTTGAAATAAGTACACAGATCGTATAGATATATGCATCTCTAGTGCTGGCTTTGATTCGGAAGGCGGAATGTCTACTGTTCGGTTAGGGTCAGTTGTTGCACAAAAGATCAACCATGGTCGCAGAGCTCCGCTTCGTTGGGAGATGATACACCGTTGATTCCTATTTTTATTTCTACATATCTAGTGCATGTGTACTTTATAAAATAATAACTATATATGAAACTGTAACAACTGTGCGCTGTTGTATTAGCTATTATAGATGTGACGCTCAGACATAGATTATGTCTTTGTCACTTATCTTATACTGTTTTGGATTAGTAAATCTGGGGTAATTTTTTTATGTGATATTCACTTTTAGTGCAATTTTCGTTTTCAATTGATAAATATCGAGTGAAATGTTTAACACTATTGACATTACTATAAAAATGTTATATTACTCTAAAAATGTTTGATTGGGCAGATCTAGACAGTAAATCTATATTGAACCTATATTGAATCCAGAGTAAATCTAGATTGAATTTAGAGTAAATCTAGATTGAGTTTAGAGTAAATCTAGATTGAATTTAGATTAAATTTAGATTGAATCTGTATTGAATCTCGATTGAGACTAGAGTAGATCTAGATTGAATCTAAAGTGGATCTAGATTGAATTTAGATGCACCAGTCGAGAATGCTATTACTTTCGTTACTGCTGACACTAACAAAAGTTTAGGCTAGGTTTGTGTTTTTCACTTTAACTCTTATTCTATTGGCAATATTAGTTGAAGATGTGGTTGATAAAGCTTAAAAGGTTTAATTCTACTCATGCATTTCAATTGTGTTAAACTTTAAAGTTCGTATATCTCAAATGTTAATGATTACCCTAACTGGTTTCTGTAGTTATTTTAATTCACAGGATTATTGCACTATTTAGGCATGCTCCAGAAATCTTGATCTTGCGGTGATCTTTTTGATTTGTTATTACAGGGCCATCATTATATATGGTTTTAGTTTTGTGATAAATCTTATGCTGAATTCTGTAGTTTGTGACATTAGATTGTTTCAAAATATTATGTTAGCATTTTCGACAGGGCCAGATATGCATATATTATATGTTCTGAAGTTTCGTTCGATTTGGATACGACGTATTTTGTAATTGTCAACTTCGATTAAGTTTTGCTCGGGTATGTGTGGTTTTAGCAATTATTAAAATTAATTTAAATTAATGTTTGCTTCAAAATTAACTTATTTTCTTCACTGACTATTCACATAAACTATTTTATTAATTTAGTTCATTAGTTCATTGCTTTAGTTTAGCTATATAACATTTAGTTCATTTAAATTTTATTTATTCAAGGCAGAATTTAAATTAATATTATAAACAATATAAAGTAAACCGATATATGTATATATTTTTTTGATTGGGTTTTGGGTTTTGATCCGTTAAAAATATTGGTTTTCGGGTCTTTCGGGTCAAATTAATTACAAATATTGTAAAAATAAAGGTGTTGTAAGTTAAGGAACAAAAGGAGAGAGAGAGAGAGGGAAAAGTGAAGGTTTGCTTCAATATTATTAAATATTTGTTATATTAAATATATTTTAATATTAAAACGTAGTTTAAAAGTCATACAATTATTAATTACTCACGATTATTTTTTCAAATTCTTTAATTATAAAAGTTTTTGCCTTCTATAATATTTTAAACTAATGAGGAAGTTTAATTTTTGCTAAATAAATTAAAATTTGCTAATATCTTCATATTGCTAAAATAAACTATATTTAAATTATATTTAAAAATATAAACAAGAAAATTAATATTTAAAATTAACACTTAATTAACTTTAAGAATAATCTATATCCATGCATATTATACGACTGAAGTCCTTAATAAGATTGTTGGCCGCCTCTGTTTAGACTTATTTCAATCACAAAAACTTGATGCACATATAATATTGTTATAAAAACTTAATATTAATAATGTTTTTTATTATGTATGAGTACATAACTAGATTTATAATCATACACAACTGCTCATATTTCCAATAATGTAGTGTTCACACATTTCAAAGTAATCGGTTCACAAAAAATTTATAGAAAAGTGCAAAAAAATTGTTTTTAAAAAAAAATAATTATTTTATATATTAAATGTGTATTTATAAAAGAAATATTTATTGGGTATTAATATTTTCCATATAAATTTTATTTTTCGTTTTTTTTCAATTATTTATTGTCTGAAGGCTATAACCTTGCTTACATATACATATGTGTATTTCGAAGATTATATTGCAAATAAATACATTAAATAAATATTATATATAACTTATAGATATTTTTTTTTTGTTCACAAAACCCTCTTAAAAACAAAAATATTACTCCGAACTATTCGAAAATGTAAACTCCAAACTACGAGTGTTTTCAAATATATTTAATTATTTTTTTTACTTATAGAGAGGTCTCGAACAGTAGTAAATTGCAATAACAAAATTTTTAATTATTTTTACTTAATTGCATTTATTTATTTATTATATTAATAATTTCGTATACTGGTAATGTGATAAATTTATAGTTATATCATTAAACAATAATCCAGTCAGGGCGTAAAGAGGGGTTTTGAAAATACCTCGAGTTAAGAAAGAGTAAAAGTGCTCAAGTGCACTGGCTCAAATAACTCCAACATAAATGAAAAAGAAAAATTTGCTATCAAATTTTCAAAATATTTAGTTCATTTTGAATAGTTGGATTGGTAATATTCATACTTGCAGATTTGTAACAAAATACTTGATGTATCTTCTGCACCCTTTAGATATTTTAAAGGTCTGCAGCTGGAACGAAACTTCTATTTAATAGAACTTAACTTAATAGTGAATTCCGCTATTATGTATTTATTCCCTTCAATTTAGCGATCCACTGCACGAAATAATTGCCAATTGAATCTAGTCTTGCACACTCGAAATTAACTCAAAACTTCGAGAAGTGCCTTCCTACAGCCACTTAGTTTCAAACGATTTAAAAGTGTGCTGCTATATTTTTAATTGGCATTTAATTGTTCATTAGAACACCATAACATATATGAAATGTTTTATAATATTTTGTTTGTACTGAATTATCATCGTAACAAGATGGGTTTGTCTAAAGAGATAGAATGTCAGCTTTATTGTGAAAGCGATTAAACCCTGAGTAGCATTCTTCTCTCTGATTTTTCTGGAAATAACGAACAACAACGATGTCAATCTAGAGAACAGACGAAGAATTACTGTTGCAAATAGATACTACTACAGGCACAGTTGGTCCTATGCTCCACTGGGGGAAATGGACAATAGTAGTAGTATTAGTATAGGCACAGTTGACAATAAGAATGTAGAGCTTTTCTAAGACACATAAAACTTACGCTCTATAGGTTGTTCATTCTATCTTTGCTTCGGCATGGTGCAGAAGCATGGATGTTATTACAAGACGATGAAGGTGTACTGATAGTACTCCACAGCATCTCTAGTGGAGTGATTACGTTGCAAGAGTACGAAACGTACTTAATGTACGAGACTGCAGAAAGTAGTTTCGCATGGAGAGTTGAACTGTGTCATCTCGAAACCCGATAACGGATTGCTTTAGGCAATAAAGTAAACAAGTAAGTAAGTAAAAAAAGAATACCGGGCTGTATATAAATCGTTTCCGCTTTAAAAGTAGAAAATGCTCAATATTCGTCATTTTGGCCTATATTTGAAGAACTGAGTGCCTGTTTTTTTAAGGTAAGGTCGATTGTCAACACGAAGGCTTTACTATAATCACAATGATTTGCTTCGTTGACAATAGTACTCTGTACTCGTGTATTACTAACATTTGAACTTAACATTTTTTTGAATGGAAAACAAATGGAAAAAGGGAAAATTCAATATACTAAAATCAAAAAGTATTAATGTACGAGTATTAAGAAAAAAAACGTTTACCTTTCTTCAATTAAAGAGCTTATTTCCAGAATACCGCTTTTATTGAAGTAGGATAAACGATTTATTTTTTTGGGAAATAATTCTTATTAATGTATTATTATTTCAGTATATTAAATTTTTCTTTTTTCCTTTTATTTTCTATATAAAAATATAGAGTATATTTAAAGGTGTGAAAAAGACAACAACAAAGATTAGTCTACTTTGTGCTGTTCTGTTTTCTTTTTGGAGAACTTGGAGCATTGATATTCAATTATAAGGTTTTACGTGTTAACTAGTGTTTGATCTAAAGAGCCTCCGTTTTAGGTCTTTAGGAATAAAATCAAATAACGATAGACGTCTCTCGTTTGGCTTGTCCACTTATCTAACAGTAACTTTTGATTACACACCCAGGGGTTTTTGAAGGTGGATTCTGTGTTTCTGGGTATAAAATTATTTCCGGTGTAGTCCTTTTCCATTACTTCTAGGTACTTAAGATACTTGTATTTAAGTAATCGGTTATTTGTGTTATATGTTCTAGCCTTAAGTGAGCTAAGCGTTTAACCACAATTATCTGCTTACGCCAAAGTGCGAAATCAGTTAAAAATCAAATAAATAAGTAATAAATGATAAAAGAAAAAATTGTAAGAAAACGCAAACGTATTACAATAAAAATAACGAGTTAAAGATGAAAATAAGCGAGTCACGCAGTGAAATGAGCACACAAAAACGTTCAAGAAAAAAGTTTGCTGAAGAAAGCCAAGACGAGCTCGCCACATTGTGGACAGACTGGGGAGCATCAGAGTACATATGGGCAAACAAGAATTAAAAGCATGCGCAGCGGCGAAAGCTAATAAAAGAAAAAAATGTTTGTTAACATATTTATAGAGTTGGGGGAAAAAAACCACGAAGAAAACTGACAAAAGCTAGAATCAGAATTTACGTTTCGACATGGTCAATATGAAGGCAAAGACAACCGTACGAAGTGTTAACTTTTCATTTAAACGTTAAGACAAACAGTTGCATTTTGTGAGCTAAAGCGTTAAGAACAATTTGAAATTTAATATTGGAAGTGTAATTCAAATCAAAATAAACAGTGACTTTCACACAAACGAGTTAGCTTTTGATTTAGTTTTTATAATGCGAAGTATTGTTATATTTGCGGTACTCTTGAGTGCTGCTGCTGGATATAGTCCATCTAGCTATATATCTCAGCAAAGCCTCACTAAACCAAAAGATAGCGACTCTGATGAGCCACAGAAGGAAACAACTGCATCAAGTGTCAGTGCAACGCCGAGTACACCGCTTTTAACGACCCTTGCAGCTGTGTCGAGTACAGTGAAACCCTCACCTGAACCACCAACAAAAGAGGAAGAGACATTATCAGAATTACCAACATCTTTGCCGACATTGGTGGCCTTTGAAGAGCTCGAAAGTGATATACCAAAACGACGTGTAATTACGTACGATCAGCGGCAAGAGGGTCAATATAATATACGTGCAGATTTGGAAAACTTTATGATCATACTTATACCACCAAGGCCTGCTGAAGGTTTGAGTTTGCTTAACTTATTAACGAAATCAAGCTTAAGTCGCCACTCATCTTCGTCGAAAAGTAAGCGGAAACACCACACAAATTCTGTTTCAGTTCAACCCAGCCTTGGTTCCACAAAGTATTTGCAATCATTAAAATCTGGTAGTAGTCCACAATTTAATTACTTGTCGCGACATGCATCGGATTCAGTTCCAAGTCACACTTTTTTTGCGCCTGAACAACAAAATCAATTGCAACGATTAAGTCTTGCCGATAGTCTTTCAACTCAACGTTTGCCCGAATTCATTGAGGGACGTACACCTTATCACGTTGATATATCGGCCAGCGATGATGAACAATCTCGTTTACATCCCAATCGTCAAGTAGATGTGTTGCCACCACCTTACCCAATTGCACATCCACATTTCATCAAACCCTATCACTTGGAAGTTGAACCAACTGTCATACAAACATTACCGCCAGCTGAACTCAGTGCGGCACATCATAGCAGCAACAATTTTTTGGACACTTACAATCAGTTATTGGCATCCAATTTGCAGGAGAATAATGGTGAGTCCGGCAGAAGTGAAAATGTGCCTAGCGAAGATAATGGATATTATCGTGTTTCACGTGCAATACGCAGTGATAATTTCCTAGATACAAATCGTGTTACCTCTTCCAATAGTTTGAATTTTGATACCGCTGCCAGACGTTCGCATGTGCCACTATATCGCGCTGATCTCTCATATGGTGCTGCTAATACATATAACGTTGATGTGCCACGTTTACCCAGTGGTTATTTGGCAATAAATACCAATGCACGTAATTTTGATTTGAACAATGACGATCGAGAACAAAATCTGGAGGAGAATCATACAGGCGAAATTATTATTCCACCTAGTTTACCCATTGACGATGTGCTAGAATTAGACGCACGTGGTGTTAGCTTCTTGGATTCGGATGCAAAGGAACTATTAAGCGATGGAATGGAACGCTGCGCACCTGGTCGTCGCCGTGATAGCTACGGAGTGTGTCGAGAAATTGAAGGCTATTAATGAAGCATTTGATGAAGTGCAAAGTACATAAGCGCAGTAATACGTTTTATTCAGAAGCTATTAGCAAAAGATAAATTATTAATCTTCCTTCCTTTAATATACATTTATTTATATATACAAAATATATGAAATAATAGAATATAATACATTATTATATTTAGTATAATATTGACTGCATAGCCATAGTTTAAAATTATTTAAAAATTTATTTACTAAAATTTATTTTATATATATTAAAAAAAAATTATATCTCATTTATTTTTAATGCTAATATGCATTTTTTTTATTTTTTTACTTTTATTTTATTTCTCATAGTGAATTGATTAATTAGTTAAAGTCACTAATTACATATTTATACTAAGTGCACACTTTCAATATTAACTTTAATAATATTTAATCAATAAATAAAGTATTATGTATGCATAAATAAAATTAGTAACAAATTAAAATGAATTAATTAAATTCAATACGAAAAATTAATTTAAAAAAATAAAATAGAATTAAGTGTGGGCAACAGTACAATTAAAATTTGTTTTTAAATTTTGAGACGAGTTGGATGGTAACTATTTGATACAAAGAGAAGGATTAACATCCATTAAGAAAATTAATGGGTGCTGATGGACCATATTCCACAGGAGTCATATAATGAGAATTATGCAGAAACATAGGTTAGTAAATGTAAGTGCAACAATGATCCGTCCATATTAACGGATCATATTTGGTTAATATGCTCGTATCATTATGCTGTTGTGTAGCTCCGTCGATAGTTAGTTGTTAAGTGAAGGCGTTGACCCAATCCAGTCATTTGATTTTTTATGCAGACAGTACTGTGAGATCTAGTTCAACTCCGTATTTTGTTATTGCTTATTTCTGTTAACTCCATAACACTATGAAGAGCGGTTTATTCAAGCAGTCGGTTTTCTGTTGTGGCTGTGTCAGTACTCTAAGTGTTGTGAAGTATTCCCATTTGGTTCTACATTAGGCTAGATGCTAGTTATGACTGCCGTAAGTCTAGAGACATCCTTTCTATTTTTGTTTATTAGCTATAATGTTTGCTGAAGATTGTATCAAGGTCATAATGTCTTATATGTCTATTCGTCTTATAAATTTCAAGACTCTGCCATCTATTGTTTGCTATTTGAAGGTATTTGATTTTAACAGCTCGTTTAACTATATTCATGGAGTTCAAATCGCTTTAGCAAAAATTTTTCGCATGTTCAAAAACTTACACTTCTTTCCAGTTTATGGTTTTTCCATTTTCCTTCATATTTCGATCTGTAGGGAACTAGATTAGAGAAATATTGTGCAAACTTACTCTACTATTTTTTATTAAGTAAGATGTAAGATTGGTGCTTGGTTAACTAAGATAATTGATTGCGATTTCTAAGATTAAATTGTGATATTGTTTAATTTGGGATTCAACTGGATTACAATTTGAAGTGAACTTAAAAAAAAGTGCCCTAAAGTAAAATACTATTTTGATATCAGGTTCAAATCTCCAGCGAGTATTCAGTCAGTAGCAAAAGTAGTTCTTAAGTGAGTTTGAAGAGAGTTGGAAAAAAGCTTGAGATTATTGTGAGAAAGAGATCAAGCTTGAGTTTTCATTTATTTTTTACTATCTTGAAATTCTTCAACCACTTTAAATTTGATCTTTAGAATTAAACATGAAAGGTTTTATAATTACTTTTTACTGATCAAGTTTGACATTTAGCACAATATCCAACTCTTAAGGTAATATTTAAAATTGTTTATGTTAAATACTATTAGTTTTGTTGGTATTTGTTCTTAAAATACATTTTGGATCTTACAGGTATTAGTTTAACAATCGATTTTGTGAAAAGTTTAGTATGTGTAAGAGAGTTTAGAGGGTTGGTCTCTCTACAGGTCCAATTACGGAAACTCTATCCCTTTACTCCCTTACTCCCTTTACTTTCGACTCGAAAGAGAAAAAAATTACAAAAAATCACATATTATGTAGTAAGACTGTAACTAGAGTTATAGAATGGATACTGAGTTTAAAGGTGGAGTTACTACCACAAAGGAAGGCGGTATTTCCAATACACGAAAAGTATCAAAGGTGAGTATCAAAGGTGATCATCAAATTATCATGCTCTGCATCAGATACTTTTGAGTTTGGATTGAGACGAAAACAACCTTTAAAAGGTTTTTCTCAAATAAATGATTGTCGAGAATTTTCCCAGTTTAATGCTTTTCTATGTCAGTAGAGACTTTTTTTTAATAAGATATCCGTATAAATTATTATTAAATGCTTTGAAAGTCAGGAAAGGCATAGTACATTAGTGTGAGCTGTATAAAAAGTGGGTGTTAGATTTATTTTAAATCAAATATATTCTTATTATAATTGAAATTTATTTCCGTTAAGCAAGTAAAATGTCATAACTATTATGTATTATTTGAAGTTAATAGTTTTTCAATAGAAAAATTGTTATTAATAATTGTTATTAAAAAATTTATACGAAATCTGATTTGATCATAAGTACTCAAAGCCTTCGTGGTCAATGCGAACTCGTTCATTAAATCTAGAATTTTTCGAGAACTCATCTTCAAAATGACAAAATCAAATATTTGAAAAGCGCATAATTGTATTTGCGTTTTGTGTGATGAACATTATTCATTAATAAACTTAAACTGCGGAAGTAACTTTGCGGGCTACTTGCATGAATAGATATATTCTATTAATTACACTGTAAGCTGAAAGAGGCACTAATTTCAGGTGAATAGGCAGTGTAAATACGAGTATATTTATTTGTTATTCTTATTATTCTAATATTGAGTTTTGAGTTTTCACATGAGAAGTTAAAGCATTCGTTTTAAAGTGAATGCCTACAGTATATGATTTTCAACAACATGTAAATTATTTTACGTACGAGTATCTGAGATGAGCTTCCAAATAAATCATCATTTATATGCACGCAGATATTGATTGCCAACGTATCTAAACTTAAATCCTTGGTTATGAATTATGTTAAGGTTAAAGCCATTCACTTTTTATTTTTTAAGAAAAAAGCTAAGATTTGAACATTTGTTAAATATTTATATTATTTATAGTTATTTATTGAACTTAAAGTTTTTATTAATTTCGTGAAAGCTAAAATTTTCTTTAGTCAGAACTATGAGTAGATTAAATTGAGTCTTTATCGATTACCAGGATCCTTACCAGTTTGGTGAGATGAAGTTTAATCGGTGGCTCAGACACACATATGTGTTCAGAAGATGTTTCAGTAGATGTGTGAGGTAATAAGGTATAGTGTGGAAGTTTTGGTATACCTTCTAAATAAACATGTTTAATCATGATAAGTCACTATCCAATAACTGATTTAAATTGGACCGCAAAGGTACTTACTGCTTTAATATTATTAATATTATTAGCCGTATTCCATCAGCAACATAGACTTGTTGCATAGAATCTCCAACTATTTTCATTTCTAGCAATATGATGTAATTCATTTAAAGATTTTAAAGATTTTTCTGATTAAAGTTGGTCTGGGAATGCTTTAAACTTCTCAATACTCTAGTATTTAGAGTAACTATGTTACTCTTCTGTGGGTACCTAGACATGAAGGGAATGAGAGCAATAAAATAGCAGACTCCCTAGCAAAGCAGGGTGCATGTACTTTTATTGGTCCAGAGCTCTTCTGCGGAGTAACAAATAGCTGCACAAATAATTTATTATATGAACGGGCACCCTCGTTTTACACCAGTGAGCGTGAAGAAACTGTCACTTACATTGCCATTGTGTAGCTCTTTAACAATGAGCACCCTAGATTTCGTCTGTAGCTGATGGGCATGCGACATACGATGGTAGCTGTTTTAAACTTGATGTGCCAATTTTCGACTTGACGGCATATGATTTAAATACATCTACTAGAATTTGTGGCATCAACACCGGATCAGCATAAGTATCAAGGTATCGCGCAATTGCTATTGGCTTAGGTTACATGCTAACTATTGGTAAACTTTTAGTGGGCAATTGCAATACTTAACTAGCTTTTATTAAAAAAATGTTAATGAAATATATATCATATAAAAATATATCTAAATAGATATTTTGGATGGTACATTTATTTAAATATATAGCGACATAATAACAAAAAAATATTGACTTTTCTGAAGAATATGTACATCACACATTGGAGTTATTCGAGAACGGGTATTCCAATTGATCATAGACAAATGTTTGAAATTAGTTCCTGAAAATTCTGTATATAAATTTTTGTTAATATTTGAAATTGAGAGAGTAGTTGAAATCAGACGACTTAATTAAATAAAGTAGAATTTACCTTAATTTTCTCAACAATCGCAAATAATTTTCTGCTTACAAACATTAAACTTATACGTCAACTGTGTTCTTTTTTGTTAATTACTTAAAATAAAAATCTCTTTAATTAATGGTTAACGGTTAAGTTAACGGTTTATGTGAAGTGACAGTCAAATTACGATAGTCTCTAGTAGATTATTTATTTAGTATAATTAATTCCATGAGTTTTATAAACTCAATTCTGCTCAGCTCTGTTAATTTATCAAAGTAGACTTCTCCATAGCAGTTACTCCTTTGTCTGGAGAGACTTGGACTGTGACACAATTTACATTTAATCGTGTGTAGTGTATGGTCATCCTAGTAGCGTCATTACTCCACTTGGTGTAACCTAATCTAATGGCTGATATAGCTATCAAACACTCAAGTGAATTATTTCTTAATTCAGTGCCCATCAAAATTCTGTGGGAGAATTTTTGTTGTTACAACGTTTAATTCTAGTAATAATAAACTGTTTTAATCATGTTTTACTTTGAGTGTTGTAGAAGTATTTTCTTAAAAATATATAATTGAAAAACATATCAATTTTCATTTAAAAAGTTTTAGAAACAACAAACTTCATATATATTAAAAAGAAAATAATACTCGAATTCGGAGCAAATATATGTTATATACCTGTACGTATGTAGAGCTGTTGACAATCCACTAATTGAAATCATAATAGACTTTACGGCGAAAAGGTTTAAAAAATCGATATTAATTGAAAGAACATAAAGATAACATATGTATAAAATATATATGGTATTTTTCAGACCGAAAG